AAACATAATAATATTCATACCTTTCTTTGGTCTAGATCCAAGCATGTTGTGATCATTTCTTTATATTATAGAACCAGGAATAATTTTTCAAAGTGCAAGAGTTTATAAACGTACCTTTAAACATGTTAGTTCACTGTTTTTTTTTGCTGGATTTGTTATAACAAAAAAAATTTCAATAATGAAATAATATATAAAATATATTTATTTAATTTTTTTTTTGAATGTTTGGAAACATTTCTCACGGGTCAGTTTGTATATTAATATGTTTAAAAATGTGGATTATTATCACGAATAATCATGAGAAAATTTTTTGTTACTTTCAAATTTCTCCACAAAATAATGTAACCAACCACTCTATTCGTTAAAACACAAAGCCATATTTTATATTTTATATTTTTATATAATGTTATATGTTAAACTATTATCATCATTATCGCCAGAAAGAAAGGAATTTGTATATAAAATTTATAATGGAATGCATAATAATGCAGTAATTAATTCTGATGAAGAAAGTAGAAAAGATTATTTTTCATTAGTCCAAAAAACAAGGAGCTTTCTGAAAATGAAAAAGAATATTGTAAAGAAAATTTTATTTATGAATTTGAATTAAAAAATGCAAAAAAATAAAAAGGGAAAACCAAAAGAATGTAACAAGTGTAATTGACAAGATACTCTGATAGATTCTGTGAAAGTTGCATTAGCTTACAATAACAGAGTTTTTTTACTAATTGGACATCTGGTAATAACATAGTTGATAATTTTATTCAACAATGTCAAATGAAATCATCCTTGCCAAACTATATTTTGGAATGGATACCTTTTAAGAAATTTTATAATATAAAAAAGTTAACTGAAGGTGGATTTAGTTCAATTTATACTGCTGTATGAAATAAGAGGAAAAATAAATGATTACAATGAAAATAAAAAAGAATTTGGTTATTTTGGAAGACAAAAAATAGTACTAAAAAATTTAAATGATTCAAATAATTCAGAAAATTCTTTTTTGATGAGGTTGGTAGTTGTCATTTATAACAAAAATAAACAACACTGTGTTATATAATGCTAATTGATTTTATATTTATGTGTTGCATTATGTTGGATACATGAAAAAGATTTAATCCATTGTGATTTACATAGTGGTAATATATTATTGCAAGGAGGTGGTTGTTATAACTAAACAATTATGATTATATGGACCAGTTGATGAAAAATTATCAAATAAAATTTATGGAATTATACTATATGTTGCACCTGAGCTACTTAGAGGCAAAAAGAAACAGATATTTATAGTGTTGGGATGTTAATGTGGGAAATATTTGCAGGTTATCCACCATTTGATGATAGAGCTCACAATCATCATTAATTTTTGATATATGTGAAGGCTTATGACCACCAAATATTACCTGGGATGCCTGATGATTACATGCAAATGATGCAGAGGTGTTGGAATATGGATCCATCAAAAAGACCAACTAGTAGAGAGCTTTATGATTTTGCTATTAATAAACATAGGGAAGTTCTTGATGATGATGATGATGATGATGATGATGATAACAGTGTTGGAAATAGTATCAGTAGTAGTAATAGTAATAGTAATAGTAATAATAGTAATAATAATAGTAATAATAATAGTTTAATAAAAAGATTATTCAAATTTTCTAAAATTAAAAATCATGGTAGCAGCAGCAGTGGTGGTAGTAGTAATTCACAACGAGTACATAAATTACATCCAAATGCATTTCGTACAAGTAGAATCTTAGATGGAGAGATTGCTAAATCTAAAAGCTTAAAAAGTTTTACAAGTAATGTAAAATAGTAAATGATAAATCACAGGAAACTAACTTATAAATTGGAAATGATTTTCAAAGGCAGTAGAAGAAAGCCTTCAAAATCAAACTGTTACATAATGAACTACCAGTACTAGAAATTTTAAAAAAACGTAGACCTGATTTATATGGGCAATTTACAAATTGTCCTAGGTGTAATTTAGCTCCTGAAGACTATGATCATTTATGGTATTGTGAGAATTCAAAAGATGCAGCTAAAACAATCAGTAAAAAACATCTGAATTCATTCAGTCACTAGTGGATCATAACCATAACCACAATAATAAAAATAGTAGTAACAATGATTACATAGATATACAAACAATAATTTGTGGAATAGATCCTTATTTCAACAATCCCACATCTTGTATACTCTTTATGAAAAATTTCACAAGAGGCTTAATTTCAAAAAATATAATACATAGTTTTACATGTATCAAACAATCAAAATCCAAAGGGAGGAAACAGCTCTGGAATTGTTAAGTATAATCCAGGAACTTTTCTTTGAAAAAATTTGGAAGCCTAGGTGTGAGGAGTTTATTGAATGGGAACACTCAATTGGGATATCAGATAAAAATAAAAAAAATTACAAAACAAAAAATTCTCAAGCTACTTCATCCAATTCTCAGAATGCTATACATTCTGATAAATGGGAAGAGTGTGTCAGAATTTTATACTTTTTGGTGTTAGGTGGGAAAATTTTGCCTTTAGCATGTTATCTTTTTTTTTAATTATTTAGATAGATTTATTTAAATATGACTTTTTAATTATTTTAAGTAAAGGTGGCAGGCTACTCTACAAAAAGTTTAGGTGCTTAAAACGTGCTTAAAACATACCTTTTTTTAATAATGAACAAAATTAAGTATGTTTTAAGTAACCTTTTAAGTGTATTTTAAGTGTATTTCAAGTATGCTAGTTTACCATCAAAAGTATGTTTTAAGTATATTTTAAATGTGTTTTGAGTATAATTTTATATACTTAAAACATACTTAAAACTCACTTAAAATGTTCTTGTTCTCTTCCATCGGTATATTTTAAGTATATTTTAAGTATATGATGTATATTTTAAGTGCATTTTAAGTATCTAAACTTTGTGTAAGGATAGCTTTAAATTAACAATAGGTTAATTGGGGTAGGATTACGTGTAAAAAAATTTTTGTAAATATTTAATAACGCATTAAATTTTATATAAATAAACGTGGTTTCAAGGCCTCACTTTAGCACAAAAAAAAAAAAAAAACGGAAGCGATTATCACGGAATAATAACTCAACAAGAAATAAACTGGTCTAATTTATTTAAATGTTACATTAATTAAAACACACCAATAAAATAATTAGCTCACGTTAGGGCGTTTATTCGAATAAAAATAAAAAATATATTCGAATAAGGAAATTAATTCAAATAAAATGAATAATCTGAATAATAAAATTGATTCAAAATTGATTCGAATAAGGAAATTAACTTAAATAATTCGAAAAACATTAATCTGGATAAAACAAGTAATTAATATTAAGGTCCAGTTTAAATTCAAGCTCACCGGAAAGATTGCCATTTATTAAAAAAACATGAATCTTGTTTTAATCTTTCCTTATTAGTTTCATTTTTAATTTCAATTTTTATAAAATCAATGTTTAAACCTTGTTGTATATATAATTCGAATATTTAAGTCCATTAGTATAAATTTTTTATTATAAATAAATAACAAAAAAAAATTTTTTTCAGACGCACACAAATATTTTTTTTTTAAATACACTATTTCTCTATAACGTAAAATTTTTCTATAAAAATAATGGACTTCCCTGATTCTTTTTTTATAATTAATTTTTCTCTTTACATTCAGAACTCAACAAGACGATTCTTTGATAAAATAAATACACATGATAAACCAATGTTTTTTTATTATCTACCTATTAAAAATTATCTCTCCTCTATAAGCCGATTTTATTAAGGTTTTTTAAAACTGAAGATTTTTTTTGTAAAAACGTTGACTTCGGTTTAACAAGCTCTGCCTGTATAACAAACGTCTTCTATAACGGAAAATTCATTGCAGATAGAGTGAAATTTTCATAATATAAATATGAAAATCTAGCCAAACCGAACCGTTCGGAGCTTTAGTGCCAGCTTAGGCAGATAACAAAGAACTGTCGAGAAAACATTACCGGACGGGAGATAAAACTGCCCTACTATGTATTAATAGCTTAAACGCTATTACTGTCATATAAAAAGAAGAAAAAGCCAGTGGATATTAATTATTAAGAAGACATTTGGATACTGCCATACAACGAAATAAACATTATTCTAACTAAGTCTAGAAAATTGTGTAAGACACGGATTTTGATCTCACATTTTGACGACGACTACTACAGGACCACAATCTTCAAGATAGTCTTTACACCACTTGGAATTGAACATTGTGGTCACTAACCTAATTATAGGGCAGAAGTAAAGAAGTAATTAAGCCATCACGGAGTATCCAGGGGAGGCGCAGTTCCAAATATGGGACCATACATTATTTACATGTCCTAGTATAAGAAACTAGGATTGTGGATTGTACTCTTGGGAAAATTTCCTTATTAGTGAAAATTAATAAGGTTGTAGGTACACTGAAATGGTGGGAGCTGCTTTTATGGTAACATAATTGACGCGATAAAGTCCTGTCAGGTGGGCAGGCACTAAACGACCACCAGTGGACCTACCTAAAATCCAACTAAGAGTAAGTGACTCTTATGAATGTATAACATATTGCCCGCATGCGGCGTTAAGAGAACGCAGCCGGAGTTTCATACCTCCTCAATTGCGAAATGGAAAGTTATGCACACTCATTGAGTTGCGACACTATCAAATTGCCGGAAGTTCCTAAAGCCCAAGGTACCGCGGGAGGGGCGAAAGCCACTCTGCAGCAGCTGGTATAAATGCCAGTGGATGGTAATAATCCAAGGGATTTAAGGCGACATAGGAGCTGCGGGGAGCAGAGGCGTATTCATTTCGGGTGGTACGTCATCCTATTAGCTTATGGACATATTATGTGAAGGTGTTTAGGCTTGAATCGAAATTGATGCCTTCAGGAGTGTGTTGGTATCATTAGTAGGTCAGAAACACTCTCTGGTTTTAAGAATGTATCAATCCTTGCTTCCGCTTTGCGTGGCTAAGATTAATGATAGAGTAGGATCCTATCATGCAGCGTCTTGACGAGAGGGACGGTCTAAATAATATGTCTCTGTTAAAAGACAGAATGGAAAATCGGCAGCCAAACCGCCTGGGTGAGACTCTTAGAGTGCCCGACGGTGCAGTTCACAGACTAAACGGTAGTGGGTGGGCAGCATCCTGTAACTCTTACTTTGAGTTTGAGCTCTGAAAGGATGTCCATGGTGACATGGATTTACTGACCGCTTAAGATATAGTCGACAGACGCCTGAAAGGGTAGTTAGTTAGTTCACTAACAAAAATTCACCTTTAGTAATCCACAAGGTTTCGGAGTTCCTAAAAAGAACACTTGCGAACTGTTTGGAATGAACAATGGATTCCAGGGCCGGATTCGTTGCTTAATCCCAATGTGGTATTGGGTTGCGTAGAATCTGGTACAGATGAAGTTGATTTAATATCACAACGAAAGCTAATCAAAGCAATGTAGGATTTTGGACCCAAACAGTTTTGTGTAATGTTTAGGGTGTGATCACCTTATCCTGGTACAACCTGGCCTAGCCCTGGGAGGTGTGGAGCTAGCCCCACGAAAGTGGTAATGGGAGATCCTCGCCGTTTTTATAGTGGGATTGCCGATCATGTATGGTAGTGGGATATACCGATCATGCCAGACTGATGCTAAGCTAGAAGTTGCTAAGTATTCTTCCTGCAGGGGAATATGACCCACTTTTAGTGAACCAATGTTATTGGCGTTTGAGGGCCGAAACTATCATGCGTTTGAAAGCGCAATACTATAAAAACGAGTTGCCTAGGGGTAAAAGACAAAACTGTTACGCTAACTTCCTCCTATGTTGTGGAGAAAACCAACGACTTGTTAGAGAGAATGATCTCCGACTCGCGTGATATTAATGTGCTATTTCTTAGAGATCAATGGTAATTCCTAAGGGAAAAACTCGCCTTGTAAACATCATGCGAAACACGCGGTTTCTTAACGAGGGTTCGCGACCCAAACGTGATGCTGAGAGCTTTAAAAGTTTGCCGTACGTGTGGACGGTAAGGTTGAAAAGCTTGGGAGCTAATGTAATTGTGAATGGAGAATTATCCGCTTCACCTATGTTAATCTACGGCCTTTTCAAGTGGAAACTTCTGCGTCAAAGGTTAAGTGCATACCAAGACCCTTTGCATTAAGGGGATTAGAGGAGTGAGGAGAAGTAAATCTGAAAGAACGTTTCGATGTGGATATTGGTATAATCCTACGGGCAACAGGTCCTGCAGGCCCCGGTATAAATGTGGGCCAAGTGTACCCTAGGTAAGGGAGCCTGGTTCCAATATTCATGTAAAAGGACATCGTAATGGAGGATTTATTATCCGATCCGATCGAGTCTCATATAGGCTTAGGGGTTGCTATATGGTAGCAGACCAGAAGGCTGGCGAGAGTTAAAACGTAAACCTGCTCTTGGAGTGGAAGCTTGAAAAGAAGAGTAGTGTAATTTATACTATGAACAGGGTAAGGGACATGGCAACCTTGGTGTATGATCTTTACACCGAGCTGCGGATGAAAGCTGGGAGTTCCGCCATAGTATAAACTATGCCGAAAGATTATTATGTGGTAAGAGATAAACCTAACGTGTAAAAAGGGAGGCCGAGATATTATCAAAGCCGAAAAACCGGGACCTTTACGTTAGGAGTACTTGTGAAGACTCTGAGATTATTCAATTTACCCATTTGGAACTGACGTCAGAAGAAGAAACTGCAAATCAAGTAATAAAACAGATTCAATAACTTTAGACGAGGACAAAAGTGAACATCTGGAAATAGACTTTTCTATCATCAATTATAACGAAGTCAGCTATAGTAATTACATTACTGGAGGGGGGAATAGAAAAATAAATCCAGAAGTCCAGACAGAAAACAATCAAGAAGAAGACACAGAAGATAATCAGGAAACCACTGAGGGAGAATACGAAGAAGGGGACACAGATTCAAATTCTACAATTTCAAATCAACCAGAAGACAACAACCCAAGTTAAGATTTATCAGAACACAGCAACAATAATATAGCAGATCAAGAGATTATTGAACCTTATAGTACAGGGTGGGACCAGGACTCAAATTCTGAAATATTAGTAGTAAAAGCTACATCAAATAGTGAATAAGCAAGTCCGGAAAAGAAAATAAAGAGAAGGAAACAATTTCAACAATTTTAAGTGAAACAACATCACCACCATCCTGTAAAACTTTACTCTCAGTGTTTTTTCCGTTTATATTAATAAATATACATTTCCGTGTTTTTTTCCATAAATGTATTATATTCATGGAATCTATAGTTCTGTTTTTTCATTAAAAATGGAGTTTTACTAATAAATTAATTAATAAAATGAATAAAACTCGGATAAATGACTGAGAATTTACTGAATAAATCAATTAATAAAATGAATAAAACTTGGATAAATGACTGAGCATTTACTGAATAAATCAATTAATAAAATGGATAAATTCTTGAATAAATTAATAAATAAATTTTCAAGTGGTCTACTAAAGATGGCTCCTCAATTAATTGAGACTAGTTGCTGCACATGAAAATTGAATTGTGGTTGCAGTTGTGGCATATGAAAATGTAATTGCAGCTAATTGTGGTTTCCATCTTTAAACGTTACTAGCATGATAAAATGGCAAATTTTTGAAAGATTATGGATTAGTAATGTACATGCAGCAACACGAAAATTTGTATGTGGTACATCACCCTTGTGATTTGACAGCTTTGAGTTAACACCAGTCCATGTTCTGTTTGAAGAATAGTAGTTTATTTGAAAGTAATGTAAGTATTAAGACTAGACTAGAAATTTTTTTTAAAATTGAAAGCATAAATCTTACTGCAGGCTGGTTTGCATGTCCCCCTTCTAAAGCAATGAAAAGAATAATATTAGTGTGACCATATTTTGTCTATTATTAATTTATTTTTAGAAAATTCAGCATCAAAAATTCTAGTTGATATATCTTGTAATAACATTATACAATCAAATTAGTTGTTATTATTATATTATTATTATATGTGATAACAATTCTTTCTGATAATACACCACCAGATCTAAAAAAAGTGATTAGTAGTATAATTGTTATTACAAGAATATATCAACTAGAATTTTTGATGTTGAATTTTCTACCTATTTTCTAAGAATAATTAAATTAATAATAAATAAAATATGGCTGCGTGACAATTCTTTCTGATCGTACACCACCAGATCTAAAAAAAGTGATAATAATTAGTATATAATTGTTATTACAATAATATATCAACTAGAATTTTTGATATTGAATTTTCTACCTGTTTTCTAAAAATAATAAAATATGGCCGCGTAACAATTCTTTCTGAGCGTACACCACCAGATCTTACAAGAATATATCATAATTAATTATAAATAAAATATGGTCACATAACAATTCTTTCTGATTTCGTTCAACCATTAACCTTTGGAAAAAAAAATACTAAAATATTAATATAAAAATAGATACAAAAGTATATAATAATAAAAAATAATGTTACCATTAATTGGGTCCATAAAACTGTTTTTTTTATAATGGATCTCTCTAAAATTAATTAACCAACACTAGATGAGATCTACAAAGCTTGGAAAGCAAGATTTGTAAAATATACTTGATCGATGCTTTATCTAGTTGCATGTTAGGCGGGTTTGATTATTTGAAAATGCCATATAAGTATTTAAAAACAAAATAGTTCTTTACCTATTACCGTTTATTTTTGCATCTTGCTAAGTGCTTGATCGAATTGAGTGATCTTAGATTTAAAAGAAAGCCCAACTTCTATTGCACATAATATTCAAAACTTATTTATAGTTAATATTTAGTATATTGTTTTTAAATCACAATTCGTTGACGCATTTTAATAATATTATTAAATGTCTCTTTACATTTCTCTTCTCCTTTTTTGACAATTGGTATATTATTGTTGCTTGCTTATATTATCTAATTATTTTAATCGTTATTATTTATGTAAGAATAAAACGTAAAAAAAAAATTTTAAACTGTATAAATATAAATAAATATTCATGGCAATATAATTATTTGCATTTATACTTGCATTTGGACGCGTCAAAAAATTTTACTATGATGCTGATCAATTTTATTATTTTGCAACCTGCGGGAAATGTCACGCGACTAGATAATAATAATAATAATAACAATAATAATAATGTATTTCCGTGTGATTTTCGTATATTAGTATTTTAAAGTACTAGTACGGAAAAAGTGTTCAATTCCGTACAAATTCTGTACACATGATTTATTATTTGAATTCCGTATGTTTCATACTGTTTTATGACGTATGTATTCAGTGCCTTTTAGACAATTTTTTCTCATAGGGATATGTTGTTCTGCTTTTTCAAGCAAGGACTGGAAGTTATTCCCTCCCTATTCAAGTTAATAATGACCACAAAGATTATTTTATTTTTATTTACACAGTAATTTGATAAATTAGTTAATCCTAATCGATGAACGTAAATTTCTCATCTAACTTCTGAATTACCTCTCTATTTCTCAGTATCGTATTAAACGGAACCAGTAGTGGCCCGATCGTTTGACTTTGAACCATTTTCTGGTAACTTAGATTTGATTGGCTGATAAAGCGTATGAAATTCGCTATTTTTTTAGAAATTAGATTTTGCGCCATGCACACAAATGCATCCGTCTTACGCGTCACAAAATTTTAGCCTATTGATATTTGGTTGGTCATATTAATCATGAATGGAAGCGAAAGCAAATTTATACCAATGTTTTTAGAGAACCATTCCTGAAGATAGTGATGTTAATGAGAATAAGGAGCTAGATGTCAAAACTAACATAAAATTGGACTCTAATATGTGCTTCCCAACTTGGAAAGTTATCATTATAATAAACAATGGGCACAACAACAAGGATTTAAGGGAAATTTGAAAATCACATATGAAAACAAACTCTTGTTTATAGTTTGTAGTTGTAAAGTTACCAATAAAAAAAAAGAAGTGGAATTAAACCATCTAAATCACAAAGAACAAATTGTAATTTGCATCTAAATCTTTCGCGTCCTATCAAAATCATCCAAATGGTCTCATATGTATACTACGTTTTATAATGAGCATTTTGGACACCTACTTGATCCTTCTGTAAGAAGATTTGAGTCAAAAAAATGCATTTACAAAACCTATTCTAAACGATATTGGATGGATGTGGCTTACAAAATCTATTTTGTAACTTTCATTCCATCAAAGAAAATTTTTTCTATTAAATTATCAAATATGTATGAAACCAAGTGTAGATTATTGTTTAAACTTCAGTCATCAATGCCCATAAAGATTTATTAGAAGCAAAGTCTTTAATTTCTTACTAATGAAGAGATCAAATTTTTATTTCTATTATTAAAAAATTTAATCCAATTAATTTGAATATTCATGAAGGTTTATTTGAGACAAAGAATTTTTTATATAACTATTTGTTTATACTATATACTATTTTAAGAAAGGCTTTACAGATGGATGTAAAATATAGAATTTTTATCAATCGGGAGATTGACATCTTACATTTATTTAATAATGCTTCATTTATATTAATTATTCGAATGTAATGTTTTATTAAATTATATAATATATAGTGATGGATATATGAAAACTATTACGGTTTACATAACTGACCCATTTCTCTATAATCCATCAAATAGAATTTTAAACATAAATGCGTCAAATAAAAGCGGTTCGTCGTGATCGACGTTACACATTCCATAAAAGTTTCAAAATTTATAAATTACAAATTACAAGAAAAAATTTTTTTCTTTTTTCCTTTATAAATTAAATGATTATTGATTGATCGATAGTATGTATTCAAATATCACTCAAAGGATATCGCACACATTGAGAAATAAAAATGTTGTTATGGTAAGTTAGAAAAAAAAATTTTTTTACATAAAGTAATTTCTTGAATGTTTCAATTATTTATTAAAAAAAATTTTTTTTTAAAAAAATTGATTATCAAAAATTTGATATTTTGGTAGCAACAACTTTCTTCTCGTTCTTTGTTCACGCATAATAAAAAATTAAACATCATATTTATAAATCAAATTCCAATAATTCCAATACCATCATCATCATCATCATCGTCGGCATCATCGTCAGCATCATCATCAGCATCATTATTTAATCAACATAGATTCATTAACACAAAAGCGGCTACCAACACAAACGCCAATTCATCAACATCAGCCATTGAATATAAACTTTCGCATCCTCGAAAACGTATACCGCCACTACCGAAAATAGATACATCATTAGCCGAAGAAGCTGTTACTAATATTCTTTACAA